CCGCTCGGGAAACTCGCTTAAACGAATTACGGGGACGGAGCCCGCTCGAAAGCGATAAGCTCCAAGAGGCGAACGGTCGTCTCACGGGATAAATTGCTTTCGACTTGGGCAAATTCGGTTGGGACAAATGAAGATCGTAGATGGATAGACGGATCGGGTGAGAACGGTAGAGAAGGATCGATTCCTTCGAGGGGACAAATGGATCGTTCGGGAGACGAATTCATAAGACACCTATTGTCGAAGTTTATTCGCGATCCCGAATAATTAACTAATCGAGAGGGTTTGAACCCTCTCGAGGGATGAAATAAGATGAAATTAGAAAAATGGTTTTATGGCGGGCTAATCAGAGCTTGTAATTATCGCTCGTAATTGAGCCGCCAATACCGAACGGATCGATCGATCGGGCAAGGACAGGATAGGAATAATGAGGAAACACGGTCTGTTCAGCTGGCCAGGATTGCCGGTTGCTCTCCCGTCACCGGCTTCACCGTCCGCGGTAATCGTTTCACCGGAAACGCTGTCTAGACACAGCAGCAGCTCACCCTCCCGCGCTCACCGGCCACCCCAGTTCGCCTTGGCTCTACCATGCTCCTCGCAACCGATCTCCGCGGTCTGCTATCCGGCACCGACCTTCCTCGACGTCTCCGAGGACCGCAAGTGGAAGAAGCTCGGATGGTGAGTATTCTCTCTTTCTCTCTCTCTCTCTTTCTCTTTCTTTTTCTCTCTCTCTCTCCACCGAATCGAATCGAATCGGATCGGATCGGATCGGATGGAATCGGATAGCGCTACGAGGAGAAGCTACGAGGATCGCCTGCACCGTCGATGATCGCGTGACGTCGTTGGACGGAAAAGTTGAACGCGCGAGAGAGATCGAATCGGGTCACGATATTCACGGTTGAATACGAGAGCGCGAGCACCATTGGCGCGCGTGCACCACGATCGGCTGAAAGATTTCATCTTGGCCGATTATTATTCCCATTCGAAGCGAATTAACGCGAAGGGGGAGAATATATGCAGGCCGCCACGGAAATTTCACGTGATCCTCCGGGTTATCCTGACCAATGTCTGTCTACCGCAATTACCGGTACTTTATGAATCAAACGCACACGCACATGCACACGGTCGAGCACACGATTACCCGTAATTGAGCCAATTCTTACGGGGGTGGATGTATTTGCGGCCAATGGTATCTCCACTAAAGCTTCGTTCCGGGGGCCTCGACGTTTCTTTTTTTTTTTTCATTCCGATCAAACGCGAGCGCGGCACGCCGCGCTTTCGAAAAGGAAAAAGAAAAAAGAGAAAAGAAGGAAAAATGAACGTCGAGGAAGATGATATCCGTGACAACAGGTAGGAATGACAGGAAACATTAGTCTTAATTTTCCCACGGTGGAGAGAGAGATCGAACGTGAAAAATGGTTGTCAAATATGTCGGCCATCGCTCTCTCTCTCTCTCTCTCTCTTTCTCTGTCTCTGACTCTATCTCTCTCGTTGAACAGTTGACACAACGATTGTTCCGTTTGTTGCACAGCGACGCCCTTGCGTCGACTTTTAGCGCTCTCTACGGGAAGCTGTTGGTCGTAATGGGAATCGCTTTTCCCATGGCCGAAGTAATATCCACCTACATACCGCCGTCGTTCTACGAAGGGTTCTACCTTTACCTCTACTTCGGCAGCATGATCTTCCTCGTCTACATGTACGCCACGTTGCTCCGCGATGGCAAACCGAAGTCAAGTAAGTCGATCGCGACTCATTTTTATTATCGTTACTTTTTTTCCACGATATACGCGATATCTCGACGCTTGCTTACTCTTTGCGAGATATAATTTGAGTAAAGGAAAAAAAAAGAATTTTGCAATTTTTTTTCTAATTGTCAATATCATTTCATAAAGACGATGGAACGGTCTTTTCGTTTTAGAAAGTATTTAAAAGTGCAAAAAAATTACGAACGGAAACAAGAAGGAAAGATTATTACATTTAGTGCAAGCAATAACATCTAATTTTTTACACGAAACGAATATTGTAATCGTATCCAATGTTGAGCAAATAAGTGATTTTAAAAAAACAAAAGTAAGTTTGATCTTACTGACTGTATCGATCGTCGGACAATAAATGAAATACAGATAACGCTGATCCAAATATCCATCATATCGTTCAATCTACGAGAATCCTCTATTCCACGTTTCTGCTCAAACTTTTACACCTATCGTTGAAAAAAGAAAGAAAAAAAGAAAGAAAAAGCGGCCGCGAACGAGAATAGAAGTTTCGAAGCATCGAGCTCCCCGTGTTCCGAGGACGGGAAGCTCGGCCCCGAATTAAAATCCCATTAATCTTAACCGATTGTGATAAATTTGCATACGAGAAGAGAAACGGAAGGACGTGTGCGACCTGGACTCGTCGCGTTCGTCGAGCGGCGCCGGTGGCGACAGCGACGCCGCGGACACCACGTGCCCCCACGTGGCTACCGTGAGACCGGCCCAACACTACGGCAGTTTTTATCTGAGGATGGGCGCTGTGGCGTTCGGGATCGGTTCCATGATCTACTCGGGCCTCGAGTTCGGCCAATACTTCGAGCTCGAGCAGAACACCAAGTGCCACAACATCATGCTCGCCCTCACGCCGGCCACTAGGATGGCGTTCATCTTCATACAGATGTATTTTATATTTCTCAACAACGAGGTTCGTTCTGTTGTATTAACGTCCATAACGAGGAAATGGCAGAGGAGAATAACCGAGTGCGTCAGCTGATATCAACGTGTTCGCTGATTTGAAATTAAGTAAAAACGTGTTCTCGTTTGTTTCTTTCGTTGAAAAAAGTTTCCTTTTGTTTCTTATCTTATTTGTCACATATGCAAAACGACGAATTGTATTTAAAACCTCGATGCATTAGGCATAGAATTCTAACGTATCGTATGTAGTATATAAATTTTGTCATTTCTCGTAATATTAAACTAATTAGACGATTTGTAACGGTGGTTTAATTTATAAATGTAATTTTCTATTCGAGATATAATTAAGAACAAGCTAGATATTAATATTATATCGAAATAATTAATAGTTTAGATTATCCTAACGTAACTTCATAAATGAAAATAATTTTTAACACTCAAATTACGACTCTCAGGATCGTGAACAAAGCGCCACCAGATTTCTTTCCATCGTTTCGATCAAAATTTACGAAAACAGGGATCGTGACGAGAAGAAGTAACAGTCTGCCATGTTCTCGAAAAGTAGAGATTCACGTTCAATTTCTCGAGAAGGGAATCGCAACGATTCGATTCGATTCGTCGTTTATCGCGGGGGGGGAAAAAAAATGGGGGACGATTAAGCGAAAGCCGCGAGAGGTTGAGATCGGTCTGTAGGTGAAGGGGCTAAAAATAACGTAGTGGCATCGATGATGCAGAGATCTGAAACGTGGCACGTAATGAAAGAGAGCGTCGATGCAAACCGAGAGAGGCAGAAAGGCTAGAAAGGTTAATGAAACGGAAGGGTGAACAACCCTGAAACTAATACTGGAACACGAGTCGTCCGACGACCTACCTACCCTTCCCAGCTTTGCTCTTTGCCCCGCGACAGATGAATATCTCTAGCTCCACTCGGCCGCTTTTGATTAAAACTTTCCTCTTTCTCGTCGAGAGGATCCTCGATCGAGAATTTCCATCGTTACCTGCCCGTTTTACATCCTCCTCGACCTCTCGATTGCGATTCCTATTATTACACGTCTCTCCGAAGAGGATCGTTGCGATTCTTTCGTCCCCGTTTTCGACTTTCCGTCTTCAACTAAATTCCTCTTCTCTTCGTCAACAGCAAATGAAAGTTTATCGCCATCGGGTGGTCGCGCGCTTTGGACTGATGCACATGATCGGGACGAATCTGTCGGTCTGGTTGAGCGTCCTTGTACAGGAAACGAAACACGAGATTTTGACGTTCTACAATCCGGAGAACAACTCGTTAAGGATCTCCCACAGACTAGGTAAGAGAGATTATTACAAGCGTAATCTACGGTTCGTCAAAAGAAAAGAGAGAAAGGAGTTGAAGTCGAAAGCCTCGATGGAATGGAATGGAAATTGAAATTGTTATTGTCGAAGGCGCGAAGAGCAATCTCGCGGTGCACAACCACTACCACCACGGGGAACAACATCTGAGGCTTCCAAGGGGCCTTAAAGGGCCCCATCACATGTTCGAGTGTCGAAGAACGAACATAATGGGATCGTTGGTCCAGGACGCCAGCCCGTTCCTCTTTCCTTGCACGATCGAGTACAGCTTGATCTGCGCCGCGATCCTCTACGTGATGTGGAAGAACATATCTAAGGCTGCCTTCTCCCAGCCTAAGACGCCACCCGGATCCCGCCATCACGCCCACGCTTACAGGTTCGTCCAACTATCTTTTATTATCAAAAAAAAAAAAAAAAAAAAAAAA